CTGCCTAATTGGCACACTTCTTCTCTTTGCAGTTATCCTCATTGGCACACCTCTTATGTTAGAGAGGAGGTGCACTGTGTTAGAAGGGTGGAATGACTCCGCCCACACGACGAGCGCGGATTTCCTTTGATTGAACTACCATATCTGATTTTACAGGGTACCGTGTTGTCATGCTTCTTCTGGGGATATGCGATAACACAACTGATCGCCGGAGGTTTCGCCGACACATATGGCGGTGAGAATGTGAGATTCTTCGAGCTGACTTTTTTCGAAAATTTCATGTTGTCTATGAGCCAAAATGGGGTGGGGTGGGGGTAGTGGAGCGTGTACACACGAAATCCTAGAGATGAGGTAGGCGTGGCTGCGTACTTCAACTAAACGTCGTGGTGGCTATGCTTTTGGAGAGATATTTTCATTTTGACCCAAATGTGGTCACGTCTCTGTCCAACAAAGAACAAGATGGCGGTTGTCTCAAATTGAAATATCCCAGTAACCAGTTCTGTGCCATGTTCGAATGCCACGCCTACCCCGTCACAGGGATAATGAGTATATATTGCGGCACAGCTCTGGTGTTTTTTGATTTCGCCTCTAATTTTGAGACCTTAGATGGTCACTCTAGAAAGTTTTTTCTAGTCTACTACACTGGCAAGATGTTTACGTTAAACGTAAACACAGAGTTATCGTTAAATTTTTCAGATTTTGCCCATATCGAGTCTTGTATGGATTATGCTCACGTTCTTCACTCCTCAACTCTTTGATTTCGCTTACTGGAGTGGTTTTCCTCTCGTTATATTGTTGCTCACTAGGGTTTTTACCGGCATTGGACAAGGTACGTTGACTGGAATCCATTGGTGTCCTTCCTTACGAATGCTGGTTCCTTCGAGTGCGATTTCGTCAACGATCCAGAGCAATTCCCTGCCTGAACTTGGACACTGTCCCTGAAAGTTACCTTAACTCTGATTGGGGAAGTTTATGGCTGCGACATTGCCTTTTATACCATTTTCACTTTAAATCGGACACTTTTCAAACCAAATCGGACACTTTTCAAACCAAATCGGACACTTTTCAAATCAAATCGGACACACCCCTTACAATAGGCAGTTGATAACTAGACCACACTAGGTACTGCTGCAAGCCCCGCCCCAACATCCCCGCCCACTTTTCAGCGCGGTCACGGTTTTCCAAAATGTTTTATGAAATCTGCTTCTTCGACTTTTTTTACTTTTGTACAGTATTGCAGTTTTCAGCTTTTCACATACCAGCAACAGCTTCAATGGTTTCACGGCATCTCACAGCTGCCGACAAGGGACGAGTTTTCGGGATCATTCTTGCAGGATCTCATTGCGGGTTGGTCATATAAATACTTGATCAGTTGGAAAAGTACTGTTCAATTAATAATCCGCGACAACCAAAGGGTGGGACCATGGGCGGGAACTCCCCGTTACGGTGCCTTCCTCATTGATGCTCTCTCCCTCCCATTAGGAGGAGAGCACCAATGATGGGTACTATGGACGTGAGTCTCCGGTCATGGCTGAATGTGCCCTTAACTCGTACATAAAACTAATAAACCGCATAATTGAAATTGGGGGCATTGAAATTGAGGTGAATCTTCATTTTCTCGATATGTTGTTGCATGTTTCCTTCGGACTACAGCTAAGGTACGGAACTGAAGTAGTAAATCAGATCGCGGCCGTACTTCGCGACTCGAATGATTCACTTGCACGATTTGGAAGTGGTTGAACCGCTGCACTGTGAACTGACTGAAGTTGCAGTTGCCACGAGGCAACGATTAGCAATGGAGCGCAGACAGTTTGAACTATTTGACTTCCAAAATGCGCGACAAGTTCACTCGAGTCGCAGAGCATCAACGCGGGTCTGAAGCCACACTGAAGTTTTTCTGCCTGTATATTCTGCTTTCTTCATTTTCAGGACGGTTCTAGCGGGATCAATCGGC